GGAGTAAAGCAAATAAGAGTTCTTCCACAGAAGTGGAAGTGTTTACCTTAAAACTAGGTTCTCCACATGCAGTGGGCCTTGTATACAGTAAATGTATTTATTTTCTAAGTATGTTTCTGGTCCTTTGGGACCTATTTTTAAAAGTATAAAAATAATTTTTTAAAAAATGAAGTCAGTTGGAGCAGAAAAAGGTGTGGTAGCCAAGGGAAGTACAATGTTTACTTCTGAATCAGAAAAGAATATTTCATATTAAATTCAAGTACATTCCTCACTTTTCTGTTCATGATTTGTCCTATCTATAAAATATGAAACCAATACTCAGATTTCTTTTGGATCTTCTTTTAATATATCTTCAAGAACTGAAATAATATCTTATACTAATTTTAGAAAACTGATCCTGCTAAGAAATGAATTGCATGTGCAAGCCTGAATCTTTTATTTGAAAATAAATTATGTCAATTTTATAATTAAAAAATCCTCTACTGTCGTCCAATATTTAATATCAGTTAGTTGTGTTCATGCTAATTTGAGTGTGATTTATTTTACATGGTGATTGAAAATGTTTTCATAGAATTTCTTTGTTCAGTTCTGTAATGTCCACTTATAATTCATGTATTTATTTGTTTATTTCTTTGACTTGTATCTTGACTTGGGCAAGTGTTCAATTACTTCTGTCTGATTTTTGCTAGATTTAATTGTATCTCTTGGGAGGGACTGTTCTAGGTCCCTTTGCCTAGAATATTTCTTGGTTTAACTTCCCCCATAGTTTTTTATGTCTTAGTGCTGCCAAAACTTTCTAATGTATGTGAATTATGGAGGGTAGTGGCTATGATTTATTGTAGAAAGTTACTGCGATAAGCACTCTAGATATTGAAACAAATCTTTTAAATCTATCTCTGAGACTTCTGGAGTCACTATTCACAGTATGCTTTATATTTATGAATCAAATTAAATTAATAAATTTGAATTTAAATAACTCTCTTGGCTCTTCTACTGGTAGCTGAAGAAATAGTGCTGACTATAACCTTTCATTTTTGTTATCTGTTCCATTTTAAAATCAGTGCAACAAAAAATGCTGCTGCCATTTTCTTTCAGATACCAACTTTGCTGGGGGTTTTAATTAGACATTTTAAAGGGCTTTTTAATGCCTTTGAAGCTGCTTTGCAAGTAAATCCCAATTCTCTGTTAGTTTTCCTTATCAGTGGTTCCTTGCAGGATACTTCAGTTCCTAATATCTTTGCAGTTTAATTATCTAAGAAATTCAATATTATACGATAGTTTTCGTCATTTGTGGCTGTATAGTGAATGTTTAAGAGGAGCTTGTTTTCAGTTCTACACAAACTGACTCTTTCTTTCTTTAACAAATTGAATTACATCTGAGTGACATTTCTCTAATTTTCTATACCACTAATTTCTCCATACCTCTCCATATCTCTTTGCAACCCTCCCTTGCTTCCATAACACCCATTTATTTGCTAAATAAATAAAAACACTGATTCATACATTCCCTTTTGCACTTTAGCTGTCTCATCCCTCTTTTTCAAGATCTCATCCAGTTGATCCAACCATTTCTTTTTTAGTATTCCTCTTTTTTTTTTTTAAGTCCATTCAGTCATCCTTTATATATTTATTTTGGGATTCAATTTTTAACCATTCACTTTGTATGACCAAAGCACCTCAACTTTAGAAAGATCTGTGAGTTCAGCATGGTTCTGCTTTGTAAATACAGCTACGCATTACAGAAGAGAAAGCTTCATTCAAATTTTCAGCAAATTCAGTTGGATTTTAGAAGTTTATTTCAAGTCTATTTTCAAAATGGTTTACCAAATAAACTTCTTTAAGCTATTTAAAAAGTGTGCAGCATAATATTTGGTGATGTGTGTAATATTTTTTGTAGAGTCCTTGCGGTTCTCTGAGCTTGGTTGTTTTCTTGCAAACATTTCGTTACCTGGCTAGGTAACATCTTCAGTGCTAGAATGAAATCTCAACACATGGACAGACTTAACCGTAGTTTCAACTAGGAAACTGTCAGCATCTTAGACCAAGCTAAATCCAAAAATGTCAGGGAATTCCTGGAAGCTTGGCATTCAGACAAGGCAGCCATCAACAGGCACACAGAGATAAACAACATCTACACACTATTCAA